ACAAAAAAAATATATTTCTATATAAAAATCAAAGTTGCTTTGTTGTTTGCTAGTATACATTTTAAAATTAATAAAAAAAATTCTAATTTAATATAAATGTCTTTAAAAATTAACTTTTGATTTAACTTGAGTTCATTTAATCTTAACTTAACTTTAACTGAATTAATTTTTGTTCATACAACTTTTAACTTAACTAAATTAATTTTATAAACAATTTAACTTTAACTTAGCTTAGTTTCAAAAAAATCATTAACTTACCCAACCCAATTTTAAAAATATATAACTATATTTTTTTATATACATATATAATTTTAAAAATATAAAAAAATTCACATTTTTAAAATATTAAAAATTAAAAAACTATGATACTGAATGAGAATTGGAAAATTTGGAAAAAATTTGCGTTCGATTATTTTGTCGCTGTAAGAGAGAGATCGGCTCTAAATACGTCAAAGAACTACCGAACTCCTCTGGGAGAAGAACTTTCTCGTCTTCTGCGAGCGTTGCGGGAATCAGAGCTTGCAAATTCACGACGCTCTCGAGTACGAAGGTCGTTTCGTCGACCCACTGATTCGTCCCACTTGTTTTCCTTCTCCCAACTTGGCCCATAATGGCCCATCTGAGCTTTTCGAGAGGTGCAAGAATTTTTGGGAAGATGCGCCTCCAAGGAATAATTTTCCCTTCCCGTCAGAACGCGAACGTTCAAATTTACTTTCCTTTTTATCAAAGATCAGGTTGTCATTTTTACACATTTGCATATTTTATATTCTTTCCGAAAATAAATAAAAAATTGACGAGACGAGAGTAAAACTAATGATAAATGACTTTATGTATATTCTTATCCTCTCTTGCTATTCGTTTATAAATACATAAGTAAAGATTTATGTGGAAAGATCAAGTTGGAATTTCGCATTGAAAATTTATAATATAAATTTATATTATACGATAAAATCAAATAAAGTCGTGACAATGGAAAAATGCACCGGCAGTCGTGATCATTTTAAAAAAAAAAATCTACAAGCAGAGATTCATTATTATAATTATATAGAATAAAAAAGAGGGCAAAGGATAGAAATAAAAAAAAACTATTATATAAAATCCACCTGCAGTGTTGTGCTTAGATGATTTTAAAATTAACTGGATAAAGATGAGATAAAAATATATAAATTCATCTTAGATAAGATGAAGATGATTGTTTCAAATATATCTAGATAAAAAATAAAATTATATACGGCGATTCATCTAGAGAATTTTCTAGATAATAATTTTTAAGACTGCTTATGTAAGCGCAGTTATAAAAAAAATGTAAATTATAAAAGAAATATAAAAATCTATTTTATTTATAATTTTTTATCGCCTACTGCTTAAATTCGACTATTTAAGTATTTTTATGTGCTACGATTCTAAGCCAAAATTATTTGAAAATTATTCTAAATAATTTACTTTTTTTCATCTAAGATGCGCGAATATAGATAATACATATTTTTATTATCTATATAAAGATAAGATGACACCAAAATTTCATCTAGATGATCTTCTATATAATTTTATTTAGATAGCAGCAAACCCTGTCCACCTGTCACGCTGCACAAAAAAGTTCACCGGCCGATTTGATAACATTTGAAATGGCCGACGCACTTCGAATTGAGTAACAAGTTCATCGTGGAAGGTCAGAGATTTAATTTAGCTGATCGACAACATATTATTGATATTTACCCTCCACTGGTGTCGGCGTTATCTCCGCGATTGCATGTTTCATGCTCGTCAAATATGAGTGTATGCATTTAAGTACGTGTATGTATGTGTGTGTACATATACAAATGTCTGTAGACAAAGAAGAAAAAGAATTACTTATTTAATATATTGCTCACGGCACAATTGCACGCACAGACTGCAAAATAACTTCAGTTTATGATCAAAACAAAGAATTGGTTGTGTTAACTTTCGAATTTCTTTGCAGCAAAAATGTTAGCGAATGTTAGATTGATAAAGAAAGCAAATAACGAGGGCATAAATCTTTTGCAAACCTGCAGATAACACTATTTTTTTCCTTATATATTTCTACGTTTTGTAAAAATAAAAAAATATAATAAAATACAGCAAATTAATTTTAGGGAAAAAAAAGGTAAAGCTTTTTTATACTCTGCAAATATTTTGCATATGTAGATGTTGTAAAAAAGAAGAATACGAGTGAAGAATCATTTATTTTATACACACATATTAATAATGAAAAAAAAATTTTTTTGCTGTTACCTTGACTAAACCTCTCAACTAAATAATATTTTGTTAAATAGACACATATAAAAATATTTAAATTAAATATAAGACATTAAATCTTATAAAACGTGTATTTGACTTAAATACTAATATATGTTGAATTACAACAAAATATAGTAACTTAATTGAAGCTTTAGTCAAGTTAACAATTTTGTATCTAAAATTATTTCTTTTCATCGTTATGTGTGTATGTGTATAAAATAAATGTGAGGCAAAGTAACCTTGATTCTTCACCCGCATTCTTCTTTTCTACGCTGATAAAGTAGTCCGAGTCAACGTGATTCCTGTTTGTGCTTACGGTATATGTCTAATATACGTATATACCATATACACACTTCTACGGGAAAAGGTTTCGCCGTATTTTATTTATCCATCGCCTCCGAACTCCATTAATGAAGTTCACAATGCCGGTGATTTATGAAGAGTCATTAGAAACGTGAGATGATGAGCGCGTCTCGTTTTATTGAAAGGGTCCTTCAAATGTGTCTCCTCTGCCTAGACACCAGCATTGTGTCACACTTTTTCCACACGGAGAGTCTCCAGGATCAAACCGGTTTTCTATCTTCGTCGAAAAGAGCGCAGCGCAATAAATATATGTGTATAGTATCAACGTGGAGAACCTCGAGAGGGACAGCTGATAGGAAAAGTACGAAAATGGAACTTGGAAAATCTGTAATCTGGATGAACCGGTCCGATATACATATATGTATACATTCGGTGTGCGCACCCATCAAAGATTTTATTTCTGGAGAGCCTCCTCCTCTTTCTCTCTCTCTTTCTTTCCTCCGTGCAAAACCGGTTTCCGTCTTTTCTACCCTCTTCTCTTGTCCTCATCTATCCCTCCTCTCCCACGCGAGTGTAAGAAAAAAGTAAACGTAACAGTTTGCACTATGATAACAGTGGGCAGCATCAGTATTCGAGATGATAAAAGGAAGATACGAGCAGCCAAGCATCTCGTCTCTTCTTTAAATACTTCCGAATAATATTTGATTGCTACACTGAAAAAAAATTTAATTAATAAAGGTTTTATTGAAATTAATAAGTATAAATAATATAATAAATAAATATGATATAATAATAAAATAATAATATAATATAATATAATAAATATATTTATTCGCGCGAATTGAATAAATTTTTTTCAGTGTAACAAATATTGGTTTCCGAAACTTATATGATACCGATTTTTGTTTAATTATATATTAATTCTCTTTGAAGTCTTCGGAAAAGTGAAAGAAATATTATTAGAATTTTGTAGAACGTGTTTCACAACTTTGCCATTAAAGTCAAATTAATGGAGGCCGACTGGAGGTGTAGACTAATTATTTAATAAAACAGAAAGTTCGATTTAGAAAGTTCAATATAGAAAAGTGCATTTGAACGATGCCAGTTGAATCTTTCTATACCTGAATCGTCATAATAATAGGTAGAAAATAACGAACTTAATTATCTAAAGTATCCCGCGCAATCATTATCGCATGCGCGGCAAATTAAAATAATTCGAGTGCGAGTTTGAATAAAAACGAGGTTACGACCAAAAATATTCAAAGTCGAAAGAGACCCATTTACACGAAGCTGTCTTTACCGTTTTACCACTTTGATGGTCACTAGTGGGTCAAATCTTAAAGAAGATCGACATGTTCGATATTGAAAAAATTCGCCTAACTCTCATCGATATATATTTAAATTTTTCAATCGATCGGTAAAAAAAAAGTGTCAGTTTTATAATTCGAAACACGCTCGAGGCTTTGCAGAAATTTTGCAATTAAAAGCAGAAAATGATAAATATATTTTCAATGTCATCCACATATTTATTCGCGATTTCTTCCGCAACACTTGCGCGATAATAAATATTGTAAAATACTAGTGTTAAGTATATTGTAAATAAAAACGTGTTCAATAAAAGAGATAATCAAAGTGCGAAGTCACATAAACATTCCTACAAAGGAATGCTCGAGAAGCGAGGAAAAAAAGTGAAAACAATATTTCAACACAAGCAAAAAAGAAATATAAACAAATGATATCGGAGCAAAAATTAGTCAATCAAACGACGCTCGTAAACTGGTAAAAAAAATTCAGAGAGAGACATCCCTCACCTGTACATTGAAAAAAATTGTTAACTTGACTAAACCTTTCAATTAAATTACTGTTATTAAATTATTAATATAAATTTAATTATTTTCTCATTATTAAAGTCAAATATACGTATATTATTAGATTCATTGTTTTTAATTTAAATATTTAATATTATATATTGATATTTAATATTTTATAAAATATAAATTTAATTTAACTATTTAATATTTTTATATATTCAATTAACAAAATAATATTTATGTTGAAAGGTTTAGTCGAGTTAACGATTTTTTTTCTTTCAGAGTGTATAATCACAAGTATTTTGAAAATCCCGCGAGACCCGCGAATTTGACAGATAATTTGAAAATGATCGATAGATTATAATTTAATATTTTTTATATATATATTATAATTTATTATATATATATATAATAATTTAATTATAATTCAAAATAATATTTAGTCGAGTTAAAAAATATTGTTCTTGCAGAGTGTATATAACCGCGTATTTTGAAAATCCCGCGAATTTGACAGATAATTTGAAAATGATCGATAGATTGCTTTCCCCGATCGGCGAAAGCGGATCTCTCCTCTCTCGGAAGGAGGCCCAAAAGAAAGAGATTCAAAGGTGTATATATAAAACTCACTCGGTCTGACGGCCGCGACGTCGGCGACGAGGCTGAGGACGACGGCGAGGGTCGTCGCGAGGACGACGAGCGTGGTCCTTGCGGTCCATCGCGCCTCGAATGAAGAGGTCCCGCTCGAGGAGTCCCCGACACTTCCGGAAGCGTGTTCACCACCGGAAGAATCGACGCGCCGAGGCCGCACAGCCATCGCACGCCGGTTGTCCGCCTCTCTTCGGGATCTCCTCTCTGCTCTCGCTCTCGTTTTTTTCACCGCGTTTCCTTCCTCAGACACGAACCGGGAACAGGAGAGTCCAGCACAGGCACTCGCACACACTTTCCCACGCGGGAATCCCGCGAAATCCTCCACTTCCGTCAGACGACGACCTCCCGGACGCGGAGAGCTCCGCGAACTTGTTCCGCGGACGAGAGGAATAAATTAAAAAAAAAAGAGAAAAAACGAAGAGGACGCGCGACACGAGCGAACGCGAGTTCAATTCATGGCTCGTGCGTGACGACGTGTACGCGGTCGCGGTCATCGGGCGACTGATGCGTGCCGCGCGCGGATCCAACATGGCGCCATCGCGCCCTCCCTAATTGGACCGTGGTGCTGATGACGCAAGGAGGGGGAAGGCCCGTCGGAATGCTTCGGAGACGCGGGAGACTCGCTCAGATTTCAAATCCGCGGCTTCTTCGGCGACATTGTCATTTGACAGATAACAGCTGACAGATGACAGGTGGAGGCAACTCGAAATCTGTTGGTAGAAAAAATTTCGTTTATCTCAATTCTTTTTTACATCACTTTTTTATGACGATTTACACACAGAGAATTTTATTTCACGAAATTCACGATAATTGTAGGATAACATGATGGATAATTTTACAAATTTCTGTGATTATAATATTTAGCACGATAAGAGATATAAAATATATTTGATTAATTTGACTAAAATGTATAGTAAAAAAAAAATTTCAATAATTTTGAAATATAGTAAAAACTGTATTAAAAAACTTGTGATTCTTTTGTGATAAACATAAAAATTCTCGGTTTATTACCAAACATGATAAAAGTAGTGAATTTTGTGTTAAAACGAAAAATTCTCTCCGTGTATATTTATAATAGCAAAATAATTAGGAAAAAATTCTGTTTTTAATTATAAATATAGTTAAAATGTAATGATTTATAAAAGAGAGAGTATTTTTTAAAAATCAAACTAGGAAACTGCGAGTTTAAGCGTGCGAAACGAAAGTCGAGAGGGTCTTTTTCATAGGCCCAGAATTTAAACGGCGCGATTTTATATACGTCAAAGAAGAGTACAATTTCCGTGGAAACTTTCACACGCTTAAATGTGTCGCGTTTCTTTATTTCCCAACCGATTGAGAAATCTCTAAATATACCGCGAATTCTTCAAATCTTTTTCAATTATCGAATTCTCCGAATTGTTTAGCATCAACAACACATTTTCTGACAATCCTCAACGAATACGGCTATGTCATTTTAGATCTTGCGTCACGCGGCAGCTCTCTTCGGTTCTCGAAATCTCTCTGACAAGATCGCTTTACACCGAACATCGTTCGTACATGTCAGTGCACGCGAATTTGGAAAATTCCACGCAACGTAACTGAAAATTACTGTCGCTCTTCCGCCTCCCACTTTGCGGAGTTTTATTATTACAAGTTCATAAGCGATCGCGACGAGATGAAAGACGATTTAATGTGATACATCCGCCGTTCGATGACAGTTTTCAAATCTGGCCGGACAAACATCGAGGAAAATCGTCGACGATCAACCTTGCCGTCTGACTAAGCGTTTTTTTTTCAGACAAACTGGCTTAATTGACGTTTACCGCGTATCCGGACTTCGTCGCCTTGCATTATGAAGAGAGATCTCGAGAAGCTTGCGATTAACAATCGTAACAGTGCAAATCAAATATTAATACAAAAATATAGTTCCGTCTGTACATCCGTTTAGATTTCTCATTTTTTTTTCTCTCTCTCTTTCCTCATTTAAATGCACGCGTTTGTCTTGTCATCAAATGCAAAACAAATTAAAAAAGAATGCAGCTTAGAAATTTACACTTAATATATGCTAATAAATTGTAGATATAAGCAAGTGTGTGTGTGTGTGTGTGTGTGTTTGCCTTTTACAAAGAAATAATATTATAGACGCATGTATATAATTCTTATCGTGTCGATTAAATCTCTTCGTCAAAGATGAGAGTTTGTTCGATAGAATTCCTCTGCTTCTACTTCCTAGACACACTTGACATTTTCAAATATTATTATTGAGTGTAATAAGTATAGAGTAAAATAAATAATATAATAATATAATAGATACTAATAGATGATAATATAATATAATTTAAGTGTGTGTGTGTGTGTGAGTACAAATAATATTATTTATACACTTAAATTCTCTTAAATTTCTGGATTCCTCGGAAATTTATGTGTGTCGTAAAATTATATTTTTAAATGTCACACGCTGTCTTCAAAAAATTTTAATCGCCAACCTGGGCCTACGATTGAAATTGTGAAAATAATATATAATAACGCATAATGCAACGTCTGAGAATTAAGGTTGTTGGGTTAATCGTACAGCTGCGTGTGCTGATAAATACCATCTAGATGAATGCGAGAGACACAACTCGCGCTGTTCTTTCGCGGGGAATTCCGCTCTCGCAAAAAGGCCCGTCCACGAGACGTTTCATATACTGATCGGTCTAATATACAATATATATATATATATATATATATATATGTGTGTGTGTGTGTGTGTACGATGTACGTACATTGCGCATTTTCTCGTGAACACGTTTATTAGCGATGAACGCCGCAAATGCCACAGCCCCGCTGCCGCGGTGCGACCTTTTCCATTGTCCCGCGACGTAAATACGGCCGGCTCGCGCGGTGTCATGCGGTGACACCGAGACGCACGATTCTACCACCTCTCTCCAGACGCCAGGCCTCTCCGAATCTTGCTGGAGAACCCGCGAATATCCTCTCGGCCCGGCAGCATTCAGCAGGATCGTGTAGCCGCGTCGTTCGATAGAGATCTAAACATACACCAAATTTATATGATATATGTCTTACACTAACAATAATGAATAATTTTAAATTCACTCTCTGAGGAATGTAAAGTCGATTTTTTTTAGATAGAAGTACCGAGAAATATGTTTCGTTATAAGCGATATTAAATTAAATGAGTTTCATTATAATATAATATAAATTATCATATCATTTATCACGTGTTTTGAAAGAAATTTTTTGTCAGCTTAAAAGATATATAAAATTAATATTTTTAAACATGTAATTTTATGTAATTAATTTATTATTATATATATATATTTTTTTTAAGAAACATTTAATTTTGAAAAAATGTCCATAACTAGTAATGTATTTTAACAGGAGAAATCGTTTACAGTAGTTTAAATTTTACAAATTATAGTATAATTTATATTATATTTTATATTATAATGAAACTTATTATATTATAATGAAATACCAATTTTAAATTTGCCATATTTAAACATATTATCTCTCTCTCCTATTAAATACTTCTTAAGCTTCCTAAATACTCCTTTCATGTATTTTTTTACATATTTATATAGATACAGTTAGACTTTTTTTGGAGACTCATTCATCTGAGATTATCCTGCCTATATATTCTCGGTTTTGTCTCTTCAACCTCGTTCGACTGCCGATACAAAAACTATCAGAAAAATACGAGAGTTTTATATACATTATTAATCGAAGAGAGACTAAATCTATTTTTCAAAAAAACCCGTACATATTCTTTACGCACAAAACAATGGTCAATAACCCAATTTGACCCAGTTAAATAATTGTAGGAGAAACCGGAACTCGCAATTCCTCGAAGGATGCGCAAAATCAATGTCCTCGGCGAAATGAAAAGGTCAAGACGCATCTTTGCGACGCGCGATATCAACTTCGTCATTATCGCGTCGTGTAGTTGACGTCCCCGTTACATCGCCATTAAAAGCCCCGGCGATGTACGCGTGCGCGCGAGTTGCGTGAGCGAGCGGATAGAGGAAAGGTGAGCGAGAAGAAGAGAAAGAGAGAGAGAGAGACGGACGTTCACGAGGGAAGGAGATGGTACACTTAGTTATTTTGCTCGCGCGCTTGTGGGATTGGGTGTGGAGTTGTATGCGCGTCGGCTGGTACGGACAGGTACCAAATGCCACAAGGTCAAAACTCGCATACAACGCGCGTGGAGCTTGGTGCACGATTCCCTCCTCTTTCGATCCGTGGAGAACCTCAAGGACTACCGCGATAAGAGAGAGAGAGAGATGCCTGGTCCCATCGCCGTGATGAAATTGCTCCATTGGCATCTCTTTCTTTCTCTTTTCTCTCTCACTCTCTATTCTCTCTCTCCTTCTCCGTCTCTTTTCATGTTACAAAACAATAACTTCCGCGATTCCCGTAATACCCAGCGTGAACATTTTTTTACGTGCCAATGCAATAACGTGGTTTGGAAGAAACGACCAACTTTTTTGTCACCTACAAACATATATATAAAATTAAAAACACATAACTTTTTTGTAATTAATTTATAATTATATACATATATTTTCCTAAGAAATACTTAATTTCGAAAAAATTCCATATAACTAGTCCTAATGTATTCTAAGTGGAGAACCTTTCACGGTATTTTATTTGACAAATTATTTGAAGAGAGTCGTCACGAATTAACGCAATTAATAATTCTGAAGAACTCTGCTTCGTCAAACAGTAGCCGATTGATTGGAAGGAGGCTAAGCTAAGAGCTACTTTTAAACAATTAACTATCGTATGTGAAATGCATATAAATGTACTTACGTACATACCAAATTTGGTGTGCTCAGTTAAAGATGATTGAAGAAGCAGGCAGTTTATTGGCATCATCGGAAAGTAATATCGATGCTCGGAGAGAGAGATGTGACGTCAGGAGATTTTAATGCCGGGTTATAATAGCTGGTGTGTTATTTTCATATCGTGACTTGTGTGAGACCTGAAAATAAATCGCTTAATTATTATGCAATAAATTTTCTATATTATTATATTTTACTTGAGCATATAGCATTTTGCATGTACACATTATAATTATTAATGAAAAAGAAAATTGAATTAAATAAAAGCTTTTACTTTTTTCGCGAAAAAATTAAGACGCAAAAGTTATTTTTAAAATATTTTCATTTAGAGAAATATCATAAGTCAAACTGTAGCGAGTTGTGACTTTTTTAAGTAAAAATATTTATCATTTCTTTCCTTTATAGTTAAAACAGATTTAAATGTATTTTGTTTTGCATAATAAGTTTATTTCAAAAACTCTCGTAAATTTTAAATTGCATTAATTTTTTTCCAAATTTATAATTGATATGTTATACGAATATCCAAAGTATTAAGTCGACATCTATCTGTTGAAACTTATTAACATTAAAAATGCGTAAAAATATCAAAATTGCAAATTTTATTATAACCTTGTGAAACTATCTATATACATATTAAAATAGTCATAATATAAATAATGTCCAAAAAAATTGATTGGTAGATCTCTCAAAAAAATAGATAGATTTTGATAAAACATACATAGTTAAATTAATGTCTTTTACATCCTGTATTGTGAACTTATCAGTAGAATTAATGAGCTCATCATAGAACTATCATATACATTAAAGTATATGATAGTTGATAATTAATAATATAAAATTAAATAAAAATATTGATTATATAATTCAAATGCAACAATTTGTTCTTTTTTATATTTTTATATTTATATATCTTACAAAATAATTAATTTAATTATGTGTGTCCAAAAATTAATCATATAAATAAAAAAAAAAAAATTCATTATCATTAATTATATCCACACTTTCTATGATTCATATTCAACGATTATAATTATAAGAACTAATAATCTCTGCAAGGGAGCAGTAATTAATGATTGCGTCATCATAATTTTACATTCCACTTCTACCAAGGATTTAAAACACAATTATTGATAAATACATTTATCTTTCTTATATATGTAATGCATAAATTTAAATGCAAAAAATATATCACGCTCTTATAATTAATATTTTATTAATAATTTTGATGTAAAAAAAGCGTGATACGAAATATGTTTTTTACTCAATATGTATAAGATAATTAATAATATATTAACCAGAGATTACAAATTGATAAACTTCAACGTAAAAAAAAAAAATATTTGAAACATTGCTTAATTTTTAATACAAAACACTTATTATACAACAAATATATCTATATCAATATAAAATAATATTCTTTATAATTTTTTTTTATTTTATTATTTTTATTTTTTATATTAAATTTCTTTTTTCAAAAGGAGAACAAATGCCTAATTTTTTTATTAATTCCAAGGGGGGCAAATGCCTCCCCTTGCCTCTCCCACTTCCTCCTCCAAGGACATCTATGATAACACATGATATAACCCTAACATATCCGAGAGACGTTCAGAAGACATCCAGAGGAGGTTTTCTGGATATCCTTTGAACACCTTTTGGAGATATGTTAGGAAACAATCAAATATAATATTGTTATCATCTCCCGCAAAAATAATCAACTAATTACTGCAGATATATCGATGCAAAGTCTGTCGCTGTCAAGGTCAACCCGAGGAAAATTGAATGACCAGGTTTTGATGATCTCATGATTCAGGACAAAATTCGAAACACGAATTTATCCTTAATTTCATGCGTCTTATATCTAAATATATATCTGTGTGTGTTTTGATATGCATTTTATTATAGATGCATATATGTATCCCACCAAACTTTTTATGTGCCGGCACTTGGAAGGTTATAAATGAGCTTCTGCTTCGAATTTCGTCGCGAATTACTGATCTTCTCGAGTTCAACAGAAATACAGTCGCAATATATTACATCGCGACTAAATATACTTACGAAACATCGGACAAGACAAACTGCAAATAATCAGGTATACTCGGGATACAAAATTAACGCCGGACATTTGGCGCCGTTACTCCAACTCAAATTTCTACGAAATCCATGAACTAAGTGAAAAGAACAGAGAAAAGTCAACGCTAAAAGAGTAATCTCTACCTAGAGATGGCGCTGAAATCGACGCGCGAGATCGCGGATTGGCCGGCCGGACTCCTTGTCCAGCCGAGCTGTCAAATCAGCTGTGAGCTGTCAAACGATCACGTGGTACGCCCGTCTGGGTCGCGTCGCGAGCTTCGTGGCGAACCGAACGAGACGAGGGATCGTCTCCTTGAAGCGCATGACGTAACGAAGTCGTCGTCTGGCGCGGTGTTTCTTAGTGGCCATTTTGTTTCCGCACCGCACGGCTGATTAAGGTATTACGCACACAAATCTCAATTAGCGTTACTTACTAGGCGGTCCAGCGAGACGCTCGACGAGACGGTCGCGCAGGACAGATAGGAGGGTATCGCCATCGCGGTGGTAGATCTCGAGGGAAGTCATCCGAGGGACGGTTCGCCTTTACCTTCTTCCTCTTTTCCTCCTATATCAGAGCACCTGCATCCTGGATCCTCTGGAAATGTGATCCTCTACGTTAGTCTCATGCAGGGGATGTGATATCCATCAGTTTTTCATCCCTTCCCATCCTTCTGTTGACCTTCTCCAGGGAACTCCTCTACTGGATCTAGTTTTGATTGTTTTTGCATCCGCAGCGATGCCTATCTTCTTCCTATATCTGAATACCAGTATCCTGGATCCTCTACGTCTCATGCAGGATGTGATATCCATCAGTTTTCCATCCTTCTGTTGATCTCCTCCAGGGATTAGGAATTCCTGAAATTAACAGAGTTTGATTAATATTAAAGTTAACTCCTCTTCCGGATCTAATTTTGATTGTTTTTGCATCTGCAGTGATGCGTTAGACCTCCTCCAAGGAACTTTTCTACTGGATCTAGTTTTGATTGTTTTTGCATCCACAGCGATGCCTATCTTCTCCCTATATCTGAATACCAGTATCCTGGATCCTCTGGAAACGTGATCCTCTACGTCTCATGCAGGATGTGACATCCATCAGTTTTCCATCCTTCTGTTGACCTCCTCCAGGGATGAGGAATTCCTGAAATTAACAGAGTTTGATTAATATTAAAGTTAACTCCTCTTCCGGATCTAATTTTGATTGTTTTTGCATCTGCAGTGATGCGTCAGAGAAAAAGAGATATCATGTACGAAGCAAAGAACTCCTCTGTATGATCAACATCTTGCCTCGAGACACACTGCCAGAACAGTGCGATCACCATGCTGTGTCCTCTTGTAACGTTAGGCCATGTCTGATAAAATTGGACCGATAGCTTGGTGATCGCAGGCAATGCCCTTGATTCATTAGCGAGCATCCTCTCTTTCTCGCTGTCTATCCATTTTTGTTTGAACTACCAGAACTACATTATGCTCTCTCGCTCTAAGTCCACTTGTCTCTCTCTAAATATACATGTATATATCTCGCGCGAATGCACACACTTAAAAAGCCCAAGTTCAGATGAAGGCGCGAGGATCTGGAATGAGCTGTGTAACTCATGGAAGGCAGTTTCTATCCTTATAGGTGTGTCCGTCCTTGAGTCCTTTGGCCCCGGCAACGTGATGGATTCAAAGCGGTACGAACGCAGCGCCAGGTCGAATTCCGAATCGCCACCTGCTCCGCCCTCGCCTCCTATGTATAGCACAAGTTACAGTACGACAACACACGACAGCAACCACAAAAGCAGAGGCTCACGGCAGCGTTCGCCTCCTTCACCAAGCACGGACCAGCACCATCGGAGCAGTAGAACCTCGCGTAACAGCTCGCCCCTTCAGGAACGACGCTCCAAACGTCGTCGAAGTGGCTCCAGATCGTCCCCTCCGTTACGCTCCCACAGACGATCCAGATCCAGCGACCGGGACCGGGATCGCGACAGAGACAGGTCGCGCAAATACTCGAGGAGAGACAGATCGCGCTCGAGGTCGCGTGGCAGATCCCGCTCGAGGGACAAGAGACGTAGTCGCAGTCGTAATCGCAGCAGGGATCGACACAGGTACAGGGAGAGCCGCAGGCATCACTCCAACCGAGCGCCGTCCTACGAGTCGGACGCGTTGGAGGAGCACGGAGAAGGGACAGGTGGCCAGATGATGCACCAGGCGGCGATTGTTGCTCCGCAACCGAACGCCTTCAAGAACGACGGTAGTTTCATGGAGATGTTCAAGAAGATGCAGGAACAGATGCAGCCTGCGGCGCAGAAACCCACCACCTCTACTGTGCTAGAGGAGAAGCCTGTGGTACCACCGCCGTTGATGGTGGGCAAGAGAAGAGGCGGCAGGATCCTGAAGACCGGCATGGTGGCGAAACCAAAGACGGAGCAGACGGTGGAACAGCCGAAGGACGCTTGGTCCCTGTACATGGCGGAGGTGAAGAAGTATCGGGAGGTTTGCTGCCAGGAGGAGGACAACACGCGACCACTGGTCAAATAACTTGGACACTTATTCGCGTCGAATAACTTTCCCTTCTTTATATACATACTTGGCTCATTAATTTTCTTCTATAAGACACCTGTAGTTTTATTCTTAAGTACGTGGAACAAATTATGCTTCTGGAGGCAGCCCTTCTTTCGTCCAAGTTCAGCGACACGAGATTTCTCTGTGAGAATCTCTCAAAGCGAAACGAAAAATGATGATGATGATGATGATGATGATAATGACGATGACGGTGAAGGGAAAAGTGGCCGAGAGAAGCAGATTCATTTTGTGATATAGTGTCGCGTGTGCTTTAAGAGACAAATGGACAAAAGCGAGAGAGAAACCTAGAAACGTAGAATTTACGTAGAAAGAGGGTAGATGGAGGAAGAGAGGAGAAATACAATCCGCGAGAGAGTCTGTGCTAAGATTTAGGGATTAAATAATTTATGACTTGTTAGGCAGTGCTCTATATTGCTGCAAGCATGAGGAATCAAAGGGATCTCACCGAGGATAACATGCAAACTGCACCGTTCGATCCTAGGTTTCCTAATCAAAATCAGAGCAGGTAAGCATAAAAAAAGAATGGTCTAATTTTTATTAATTTTGTGTGTCAAGATTGTAAAATGATTAATTTTTTACTTTGCATCTAAGAAGCTCAATTTTTTTTACGATAAAGTGCAATATAATTAATATATTTTCACAGTTTTCTCTCTGTATTCTTTTTATCATATCATTCATGATTCATCAGTCATAAACACATGAGTCCAACCATATAAAAATTTATATGAAAGATTACACTTGAAAAAGAAGGAAAATGTATATATGAAAAACTGTGCAAATAGAATAATCAGAGAACAGAGATACATAATTAATTACATTAACACATCTTATACCATGCAGTGCAATGAAATCATATTTACATCATCGTTACACCATTACATTTCCCTCAGTTATATTCTCATCAGTGACGCAATGTCAAATGTACATGTAGAAAAATCTGTGCAAAAACAGAGAAAATAGATACATATCAATCGACTATTGTGCATCATCCATTATTAATACGAATAGTGTCTTTAATTAAATGCGATGATCCATAGATACTGTTACCAGAGCTATGTAGACTTCCATCGATGCAAGAAGAAGCACAATGAGAATTACGAGGCCTGCCAATACTTTAAGAGAGTTTACACCTCAATGTGTCCAAACGCCTGGGTAGAGAAGTGGGACGGACAGATCGACGCTGGCACATTTGCTGGTCGCATCTAGGATCTCTCCGTGATTGATTATACATCTATTTCTCATCTTAGTGGGCTTTAAGTGAAGAACAGGATTCTAGGATCGCGTGTCATTTCCTGTTTGTAAAATAACTCGTACCTAAATAAACTTAATGACACTTCAATCTTTTATCTCTCTCTCGTCATATTAAGATGTCCCATAAAAAACAGCTTCATGCGTATAGAGGATGTGTGCACTACTGTGATTATTCTCCTCTCTTCTGATCGTAGAGATAAATTATATCTCTTTAATTATTATATAATTTGAACTGTTATTTTTCGTACTCTATATCAATAATAAGACACGCGCTCACGAATTTTGATAGATTTAATAGATTCAGAAATGTAATTAAATATAAAAATATTCATCATTATACCTAGTCTGTTTTTTTTGCTCAATTTATCCTTTCAATTTGACACTATAAATAGTTTCTTCGAAGCATCGATGTTCTATCTAATTATTCTAATGCAATAAACATGATCAACTTTTTCTGCGCAGTTTCAAGTAATAAATATTTAATTCCTGGATTAAGGAAGCAAATTTGAATAAAAATGTCTCAAGAAGAATAAACAATAGAGAGAAAAATAATCGCACTATGAGTATAAAAAAAGCATAATACTGCTATTTAATGCAGATGCTTTTAGTAAAGAATAATTATTTTTTTCAAAATTATGACACATCGACATAATATTGTAATATTTGTGATAACATTTGGTTATCAATTATCGATAAATCAAATAAAATCATTATGTAATTAATCTGTGTTGATAATATTTCGATTCCAGAATTGACGAGGAGGCACAATCGATTGCAGCAATAAAACGTGCAATCGATTGTATATACTATCGACAGATTGATTTATATATTTATATTGTATTAATTTGTATACAATATTTTTCACCTAACAAATAGATTATATATAATATATATATATATATACACATTGAATTGTAAACATAAACATATTGCAGATGCTACAAATTTGACAAGTCTTAATTATACGAGTCGCATTATTTCGCACAGTAAAAATAGAAAATGAAAGATCAAATAGAACCTACATTCTTCAGACTAATTAAAAATTGTACGTAGAATTGTCAGACCCGCAACTTATATGACTGATTATAAGTCTTTAATAGACATCTGGTCGATTGCAATCGCCTATGTCACATATGTGTAACAGGATATCATCTAAATCATTCACTTAAGTATCTACATTCGCACATTATAATTTAATATACAATTAAGTGTTGTTATTAAACAACGAGAGAGAGAGAAGAATCAGCATACAAAAATAACATTGAAAGAAAGATGGAAAATAGTATTTCGTCGTGGTCAATGATGGAGGCCGGTGACTTTCAGCTTCTTTGGTTGCCGAATTGCTCGGCCAGTCTCGCTGTCGGAGGATTCCGATTCGGTATCGTTGTAGCCACCTCCTGATTCAGACTTGGTTATCTCGCAAGTCTCGGCATAGTTGCCGGTAATCTTATTAGATTTCTCTAACGCACGAACTGCAAAAACAAATATCGACAAATGAACAAAACTCCAATCGCACTTATTTTGCAATTACAATAACAATAAATAATTATTTTATGATATATGATGTATTACGAAGAGATAATGTCTTAACATATACAGCTTTTCTTATTAACACGTCTTGAAAAATAATCATGAAAAATAATATCTGTAAAACAAGCAAAGTTGGAGCGTAATCTTGCATCTTTGTCGAGTCTGAAGTAACTTTTTACTATATAATGAATTTTTGAGATATAAATAATTGAAAACAAAAGCCTTTTTATGAACTATAATTCTTTTTCCTCGCTGTATAGATATTAAAAGTATATATTTAATTTCTAATAAATTTAAATATGTCAGCAGTGAAGAATAAATTAAGAAATTATTATAACGACTGGCTTCAATTTTCTTTATTAATCAACACTTCATAAAAACTAAAGTTTAAAATTATTACGCTTGTTCTGTAAAGATGTAATTATTGTATATAACTGTAATTTTAATTTTTGTATGTACTTTGTAATTTTAGAAAAGGACCTAAACCAAAGGTCAAAACGTAGTCTGATTACATATTTTTACGAAGTGTTGATTAATAGAGAAAATTGAAGCCAGTTGGGTCGTTATAATAATTTCTCAATTTAAATATATTCCTGATTGATCAGGAACAAATGATCATTCTTTATGTACAACAGTAAGATGCTTACTCTGAGCTTCCAAAATACTATTCTGTTTCTTGAGATCATCTATGGCTTGCTGGTTAGTAGCATTCTTGCGCCGCATAAATTGGATGTAATCTGCTGCCTTCTTCAAGATTTGCGCCCTGCTGGCAACTTTTTCTCCTTGCAAAAATGGTACTGAATCTCGCAGATTCGAGAAGCTGTCCTTGATATGATCCCGCCGCTTTCTTTCCAAAGCATTATGATGCGCTCTTTTCTCTGCCTAGAATTACACAGAATATATATAAATAACCACCTACTCCTTCATCCGTTAAGGTACCATTTCATGGGCAGCATGCTGCCGCACCAGTTTGTTACTATTGGTAAAGTTCAATTGAACGAACAGCAAAGGCAGTAAAGCCAAATATATTGTATTAGTTAAACAACAGATTTTTTAAAGAATGAAATTAATTATTTTGAGAATATAAAAGTAAAAATCGTACTGATTTGCTGCTGCAGCATACTGCGTGTGAAAAGGCACCTTTAAGCTAAGAAACATGTTCTATTATAATCTAACAGAATCTGAAATAAATCCAGCAGTGATTTACTCTACAAAGAAGACAAAGAGACACAACATTCTCATCAACAATGGATCTCAATGGAGAAATCAGTATTCCTTCGCAAACCTAACCCGCTAATTAGATTAGATACGCCGATCATAATCTCCTCGAAGATATCGAGGAGAAAAAATACGGAAATCCTCGGTGGGACGTCAACAAGACTTAATTGAGGTGACGAGGAGCAAGGACGCTCACCTGAGAACAATATTGCGTGTTGTTGGAATGCCGTAGTCTGGAATCTGAATCTTCGCCGTCCTGGAAAAAAGGGACACGCGAGCTCGGTTAGCGAGAAGAGTCTCTCGCATCGAAATTTCATTCTACTCACATCGCTCTCGATGTCGATGTCCCGATCGTCGTCGCTCATCCTTGTTGCAGAGAGGTTTATTCCGGAACGCGACCAGTTTCGACGCCGCTTTCCCACGGAGAGAGGATAGTCACGTGACGAGCGAGAGAAAACGCGGATCCAGCTTGACGACACCGACACTCCAAATCCAAATAAACGATGCGATGCGATCAGATGCGAACGATAGAACACAGAACATAGATTACATAGATGCGAGCTGTCATCGAAGATTATTTCATGAAGATTGCAAACACGACGCTCGTGGCGCCTCGGGTGGACACGATTGGAAGCTAAACATGGCGCAGCCAATCAGAACTCGCGAAAAGTTACTACGCTTTGTGCGCGCAATATTCGATTGCAGACGCAGGAAATATATAACATTAGAAGAAAATATTGTGAATTATCTTTATACAATAACAAAACATAGAGCTGCTATATATATATATATATATATATTATATATATATATTACATATAAAGTATATATATATATATGTATATTATATATATAAAATATATATATGTCTATATATCAATATATATATGTCTATGTTCAAATATACATTAGAAAATATCTTTATAGAAAAAAAATTATGCGATTGTGACAGACTAATAAATGCGGCAGCTTCAAAGGGATAAGAATCTAAATCGAATTTTGAAAATTCGCTAATAATAATTCTTTAATCGACAAGAAAGACCCAGGAGCAATATTCTAAACAAACATGAGTATGAGTATGGGTAAGTAAATCTTAAATAGCATTAATAAAATGATATTGTGAATAATTTATAAAACCTGAAAATATTTTTAATTGACAGCACAACGTCCCACAATGAAAGGCTGGTCCATAATTGGAAAAACCCTTCAAGCAAGAGCCTACCTTAGTACTGTATCTCTTTTAGCGGGATTATACAAGGGTAGCTTATCCTTTCGTACAGGCAAAGGTGGCTTCAAGGTATCATATATTAATTAATCTCATTTATCAATTTAAAAATCTAATTATCCAAAAATAATAATCGTAAAAGAATAAAGATTGCAATATTCCCAATTTCTTTTTAAAATAAATAAAAATTGCATTAATATTTTGACACATTAAATTATATAATATATAACATATTATAATGATGTAAAAAATGATGGAAATTATTTGCCAGATTCCAAGATATCAAAACACTTACCGCCTTCAGCCTTACAAACCATTCAAGTGCGAAACCGTAGATTTAATACTGATCGATGTGATGCGGAATTATTTAACTGGTTTGAAATATGAGCCTCAGGTTTGCACCCGAATTTGTCAGAAAATGTCGGCAGAAGTGCGTGACAGAATTTACAGAAAGTACTACGATCGGTAATCTAATCTCTATCAATCAACTAATTAAACAGACATAATAATTACATCTAATAATCGCAATATGTAACTTTTAAATTAATTGAAATTAAATTATCATATTTTAGAAAGCACAAAATTAATAATATATATTATTATTATTTTTTATATTATATTTATATATATATATATATATATATATATATATTATTTTTATTAATATAAATTTTAATTTCCTAAATGAATATATATATATATATATATATATATATATATATATATGTATATAAAAATGTTTCATAATTACACACCATTTGCAAGCTGTTGCGGAGAAATTAGTTTCTTATCTGACTGATTGTGAGCAATTCTTGCAATTCATTTTCTTCTCGTTTCCAGATTCAAAGTTGTAATTATCATGACAATCGTCCAGAAATTAGGGCAAGACGTGCACGTCGGTTTCGGCAAATTGTGGGACGTTCAGAAAGATACTTATTCGACCCATGTGATCGAGACTCCGGATTTCGCCGCGATGGGACTCGTTGTGGGAACGTATTACGAATGAACAAATTAAAACAACCATGGACGAAGCTGGGTCAATTTCATGATGATAAACAACAAGCCCTGGAACATATCACAACTTCGAATTAAATAAAGACAAGGAGCGTTTTTCAAAAATGGCATACAAATGTTAAAATAAAATTAAACAAGAATTTAAGAAAAATATTACTAAAATTGGCTAATCATTCAATGATCATTATTGGTTGAAAGGATCAATGATCCGTGATGCACAACTAGATCACGTGTTTCACGTTTTCTTTATTGTTATTAAATTAATATATATATATATGTATATATATATATCATTCGTATATATATTTTTTTATATATTTATATATTTATATATTTATATATGTGTATGTATATAACAGCGACAAGTACAATGTATAGTTATGATTATTAATAATAATCGTAATCGAAGGGCACCGATGACTATAGTGAGAACTGAAGTCGAGGTAATCATCGTAATGATATTAACAACGACAATCATAATAATGGGCGTGATAATGGCGAATGTGATGATAATAATAATAAGTTGTCTCGATCTTTAATTTTTAATACAGTCGTATATTCCCTTAAAGTCCGTCCTTAATACTTATATCGCGCTTTTATTGATACAGGGATACAGAAAAATAATACCGCGCGGCCGTGGTGGAATGTTCTTAAGTCGTATATAATATACATATATATATAATATATGCATATATGTATAATATTTATATAAAAGAGGCGCGAGAGCGCCTAATTAATTAATTACAAGCCAGCGCCGCCGCGCCGACGCCCGTCTTTATTTACATCGCAAAAATTAAGCAAATTCAAAAAGGAGGAAAGACCGACTGAAAAGTTCATTACGTGCGAAATCGAATCGCTAATCTTCGAAATCACAGTTCCCGATAAGGAAGAGCGATATAAAATATTTAAACTCGTTAAGAAACATCTCAAGATGCAAACTAATAAATGTTTCAAAATAAGAAAAGAAATCAGAAACATGGACCGATGACTGAATGACGTAACGTGATGTAAAATACTAGAGGTCGTACAAAAATATCTGTCTTAAACAGTAAACTAGACTAAAACGGAACGGATGAAATTTTTATTAAATTAATTAAAGATTTTCAACTTGTAGAAAGTCGGTTTGGCCATTTAATGAATTCTTGATTTCGAAGATTGTGGATTATTTCGCAAAAGAGAATCTCCGTGAAATTTCCCGCCTGAAGTTTCGCTCACGTTTCACGGGGCTTTCTTCATAATCGAGATTCAATCGTAGAGTTCTTTTTTTTTTTTTTTTTTTTTACTTACAATCCTACTGCCGATCAATTTTACACGCACGAGCTGCACTATGTAGATCCTTGGTCCATTTTTGACGCATACGTTTATTTACAAGGTGGTTCGCCGCATCGCAAAAAATGGCAAGTCAACCGCGCGATCGGAGAGACTCTAGCAAGAGCATTGCGAAGAAAAATTTTCTATTTCTATTCTCCTCACACATGAAACAAAAAATGACAAATTTATATACACATAATAAAACAATATCATACATGTGTTTTTAACATAGGACGATGTGTAAATTTTAAGTGCAAAATAATATGATTCTTTAGCTATTAAAACTTACAAAAAATGTACAAAGATTGGTTTTAATCAATTTTTTAATTCCTTCATTTTTCAATAATATAAATATCCAATATCAAAAAAGTAAAGAGAAAGAACTAAAAATTATATATATATACTTAAAAGAGGGCAAACTCTTTTTCATCAATTTTCAGTGTATTGGAAACGGAAGATCAAGTCAAAATTTAATTAAAGAAAAAATAAGATAATTCTATATTAAAAAAAAAGTCTCTTCTTGCCCAATAAATTTCTTATACTCGCCTATAATTCAAAATCTATTAAAACTATCTAAAAAATTATAAAATATAGACAATATTATTAAAAACATTAACGAGCTGCTAGTTTTCTTAATTTGGCTTCTTACAGTATGGCTCAGTAGGCGATTTCTGAAACAATCCATATAACGAAAATTTCGTAAACTATATCCCAAATTAATGAACACAAACTATATTCGATCGCGCAAATCGCCCGCAATTTTTGGCTTTTACAACAACCATGACCGAGATGAAAACGCCTTTTCTTTTCCTTTTTTCTCTCTGTTCTCTCTCTCTCTCTCACATACATGCATACGCACACAAACACACACACACACACACCACACACACACACACACACTCTCTCTCTCTTTCTCTGCCGCAAGAGAAGGCGAGACATTCCACCTCGCCGTGATCGGTATGGAATTATCGAAAGTTCTGAATTGATCTATCCCATGTATATGTGTATATACGATTGTTTCGTACGTTCGTGTATACCTGTCTCTGCGTGTATTGTGTGTTTGTGTTGCTATTATCTGTATATGACACATTTACAATAATAACAATACGTTGCTCATCATCGACGATTCGCCTTAACTCGCGTATGTATACGTTTAATATTTATATATATATATTTAATTGGAAAAAAAGTTTATAATATAGGGCGGTGGATCGCCCCAAACACACACACACATACACACGCGTACACACATACACACGCACATACACAGAGAGCTTCCCTCTTATTTTTCCTCTCTCTCTTTTCGAGATTCCATCCATCTTTTCCCTTCGTGCGATCATCGAATCGTGTATCACAAAGTTTCCAAAATGCACAGATTTGGATGAAATAATGTCAGTTATAATATCGGTATGATACGCTTGCAATTGGCATTTTTCTGTAAAGCTACATTTGCATCCCGCACGTATATGTTATTCGTAATATAATCGAATTTTCGTATGCAAATCATCACTGAAGTATCGCCGTAGACTCGCCTTTACTCAATCTGTTCAACTATTTTGAAAGGACTAAAAAGTGATTACGTATGTGTGGACGCTCTGCCGGGGAAAAGTAGTATTTCGAATAATTGATAATGAAATAATAAATAAATGTATATACGCACGTTCATACAGAAATATATCATATAAAGAAGATACACATGCGATAGAGTGCTGCTGTTTCATAATTTTAATAATTTTAGTTGCAAATTTGCACGATCTATTTTACATATTTAATATTTTTCTGGTTAAAATTGTATTTCCTTGCTCTGAACATGGTTTCTCGTTATTTAAAATCGTCTTGATTGACCGAACGAATAATGCATTTCTGTTTTACTTTGATCTGACCACGGTTATAATATAATTTTACAGACCCGCAGAATTAATTTATTTCTGGAACAAAATGACATATACATGCGTGTATACATCATTGAATTAATTTATTTCTCTAACAAAATGACATATGCACACATGTATGTATCATTGCGACGAATTGTAGATAAAATACGGATTAAAACAGACTCGGATAGAAAGAATTGAATTTATTCACGTCGCATAGATATATAAAAAAAAAAAAAAAAAAAAAAGCTCTTGTATAATAATTATGAAACGCTGGTAGCGTCTGGATCCTTTCGAAATAAAAAAGAAAAATAACTCAGCAAATCATCTCGCGCACATATTATATATCGTGTATCTGTTTCTTCCACCGCCTCTCTTAACTACTCCCTCATCTCTCTCACTTATCGCAAATATGTATTTACAGACTTGGAAATTGATTAAGAATTCTGATATTCGCGCCTTCCTTTCTCTCGCTCTCTCTCACGCCATTATAAAAAATTGATTCGTTTCACCTTAAATCGTTAACACTTTCCTTCCGCCTCCTCTGCCTCGGACTATCTCTTCCCTCCTATTTTAGGAGCGTATCCTCTCTGGACACCAATCAGACATCTCGCTTATCTGTTAGTTTTCACGACATTACACATTTCATATTTTGTACTACATTTTATATATTACAATTTCATAAGAGAGAAATTCATCGTCAAAATGTAACACCCTAATCTTTTTGTTTAAAACTACATTATTGAAATATTCGTAAATTCGTGATTAATTGAAATTATCAATATTTCCTATTAATATTAATAAATTAGCAGTTTGTAACGTATTGCTTCAACTAATTATTGCGCATATAATACAATTTTGTCCATTTCTACAAATATATCGTTCATTTAAAAAATGTGATACTTTGCAAATTTTGCTTGCTCGCGAGCTCCTGATTGGTATCCAGATGGTGAACATCGGCCGATCGTCCCTGCAGGAAGGCTCGCGGCCGTCGCGGTGCTACGAAAAATATCTCCAAGGTCAAGCCATCACAGACAATAGTTCCGGATGTCGGAGGTGCGGGGGACTATATTGTGCAGAGACGAAAGACGTGTGCACTTTCAAAGTTCTCCCTAAAGTTAACTTACTAAAGTCGTTCTTACAACGGTAACAAGACTCGATTCTATTTACATCCGCAGCTCTCTCGTCTCCTCCTCCTCCCTCCCTATTAACACAGACCTTGAGGAGATGGATGCTACCATGTCGCAAACTTTGCGGAATCCTAAATGATCCATGGAACATCCCATCCGTCGTAATTAGCGGGTCATCCAAGAGATCCATGTATATATATATATATATATACACACACACATATATATATATATATATATATATATATATATATACACACACACACACTCCGTCGGCGATTCAGAGTTCTGGGCTCCCATCAAGGCCCGCTGGGCCTCGGCCAGCTCACGTTGGGAGCCAATCACTACGCTGGGACTTAATAATGTTAAGGCATCGTCGTGCGTCGACGAACACGAGTTCCTCTCTGACGTTCGTTGGCAGTAGCGAAAATGTCGGTCGGGTTCCATCACCTTCACCCGCTCGATCCAGGCACTATCAGACCCCCCATGTCCCCCGAATGCACCATACCACCCTCTCGCGGACGATCCGAAAAAGGGATCGTTGTTGTTGATCTCCAAAGTTCGTCGAAACTTGGATAATAAAAGATCCTGCGAAATTTTCTCATCCAAAAGCTCGATGATCCGATTTGTTTCATCGTCGTGGAAGCGCAATCGTTAAATAACCGGATTATCTTCAAAGCATCACCTCTCACAATTTCTTCAAAGCTCGACAATTCAGACCGTTAAAAATTCATTGAAGGCCTAAGAGATGTTCCTCTTGGATCTCTCTTTCAGTTTTATCGAGAAAAAGGCAACAAATTAGTTTTTCGATACTTTCTTTCAGCTTTTTCAGAAATGCAAGATTCCCTGTTTATTAATTTTTCTCTGATTAAGAATTTAAGAGAATATCTTCATCGATCTTCTTTCAAACTTTGTCCAAAATTTAAGAGACTTTCTTCGATTTTCTTTGTTCTTGCAACTTTTTAAAGATTCATAAAATTTTGGTTTTAATATATTGTATATCGTGTTTATATTTTTTAAAGATTCAATATTTTTAAACGCTCTTCTTCCGATCTTTCCTCCAGTTAACAAAGAAAAATATTTATTCATCCTCTTCCAGTTTTCTTTCAGCAATTCAAGAAATTCTTCTGATTTTGCATTTAGCTTTCGCAAAGATCGCAGAACACTCTTTCCAAAGATTGAAAAAATGTCTATTCTTTTTTCTGAAAACTTTCTTCTATTACAATTATAATAAGCTTTTGATGATTTCAAAGATTTCGAGCTTTGGTTATCCATAAAAAAAACCGAAAAAGTCCTTGGATCAGCTTCAACTGATTTTGTGGCTTCGGGCTTCGATGAGGAGAATCGCCAAAATCAGCGCGGTGAATGACGGTGTACCATAATAGTGATGTGCGCGATGATTAGAAGCGTGAAGACGGGGGCCGAACGGAACAATTTCGCGCTCGACCATGAACCGCGGCCCCGTGTGTCATACTTCTTCCCGTTTGAAATTGATGTTCTGGGAGGCGCAGAAGTCGCGGGTGAACGGCACGCAGTTGAACAGTTTGCACACCTCGCACTCGTACACTGGCACGTTGTAGAAGAGGGCGAGCAGCAGGGCGAACAGGCCCATGATCAGGATCAGGCATACCCAGATGAGCAGTATCTTTCGCCTACGGTCGTAATGGCCGAACGAGATGAACGGCATCAGCGCGTAGGCCGCCAGGAAGCCGAAGATGAAGCCGAACAGATGCGCGTAGTTGTCCACCCACGGCAGGATGCCCAGCGTCAACAATCCCACCAGGATCAGGATCAGCTTGGACAGCGCGCGACGCGGATGCTTCAGCATCGGCCAGCAATGCAGTACTTCGACCACCAGCGTGGCCAGCAGCGCGAAATGCGCGCCAGCTGGGCCGACCTGGAAAACAAACGTTATTGATCAACGAAGTCTGAAAAATATAAAGCTTGCTTTCACAACATGCATCGAAAAATAAATTGGTGTTTTAGGGGAAAAAGTGAATTCAGTATTGTAAATACAGCAATACAAATTGTAGCAATAAAACTTAAATTACTCGACATTGTAGACAGACGATTGTTTGAAATCAATAGTCCAATATATAAAAAATAAATATGTAATTTTAGGGAACAAACGCTATTCTGATAGGACTATATTAAAGAGAAAATAAAATGTATTTTATAATAGCTTCGATAAATAGCAGAGATTAAAATGTCATTTATAAAAGAAGGTAGTGTAATAATTTCAACAAATTTTAGTTTTTTTTTTCTTCAATTTAATTATATCAAATTATTTTGCTAAATGTCAAATATTAATTATTTCAAAAATAAACTGTATAAAGCATGTTTTTTAAATAAAATAATTATTTATATTATTTTATAATAGAATTTAAAAACTTACCTCTGCTCTATAAGGGACAAAAATTGCGCTGGCCAAATTCCCAGCAAATGCACCAATAAAATAGATCAAAGCGATGCGCAAAGATCCTGTCAGCTTTTCCAAATCTCTCATCAGAAAATACTGGATCAGTAACGTAATTACCAAATGGACGATTCTGTAACACCAAAATAATGGGATAAGCAAATTGATTTGATTTGATTTTTTTTATTAATTTATCGAAATAAATTTTGCAGTCGGTTTTACTTTGATGAAGACGAATAAACTATGTTTATCGGCTTTTTCAAAATAAATTTATTGTGACAAATATAACGATTTGATATTTATCGGAATAAATTTACTGGAATAAATAAATCGGAATACATATTTTTTTCTCTTTAGATTATAACTTAGTCGAGTGAATAAATTGGTTTTGTGCGCAATTTATGTACAATTGAAACTAAATTTATGAAGACGAATGTAAAATCGATTCCGCTCTTTCCAGATAAATAGATATCGCGATAAATATATGTAAATCGGTTCTTCATTCATTGGTTTTCCCTTTATTACCCGGCGTGAAGGAAGATAGAGGTGAAGAGTCTGTAGAACTGGTCCGGCCATTCGGGATGCAGGAACGGTATCATTCCGCAGACGTCGTGCAAACACTCCACCTGCGAGCAGAGCGACGCCTCCTCGTGAAAGTAACCGTGGACGAAGTCGCAGTACTCCTTGGTGGTGATTCGACACATCCCGTGAATCCCGATGCAACATGGATGACCGATTATCTCGCAAACCATATGCTCCGCCATCTTATCCTTGTAACGGCCGATGGGAAAATTGCCGCTGCCCCTTTGATTTCCGTTTTTACTATTGGGAATTGGTTCCGTTAATCCTCATTTAATTATATCAAATTATTTTTGCTAAATGTCAAATATTAATTATTTCGAAAATAAACTATTCAGGGTGTCCCATTTTAATATCCCACATCGAGAGCTTTCCAAAACACTATAATGAAACATTTTTATCTCAAGTACTTTTTGAGTTATAAGACAAGATCTCCTCACCTCAAGGTGACCTTTACGTGACCTTTAAGCAACTATTCAAGATCAAACTAATGGCACCACCTTATGTCCTCCTCGAAACCATACAACTTTTGTCTGAAACATTTTTTTCTACAATCAAAAATAAAAAAACTTATTTGAGGTGGGACATTAAAATGGGACACCCTGTATAAAGTATGTTTTTTAAATAAAAAAAAAAAAAATTATTTATATTATTTTATAATAGAATTTAAAAACTTATTTATTTTTTTGCAAACTCTCAGTGATATTCTATTTATTTATTTTTTTGCAAACAAATTCTCAGCGATATTCTGTTAAGGCTTCTGGCTCCTCGCCGCGGTCATGTCAGATTGTGACGTCAGAAGCGAGGAGCCAGGAGGCTTAATTTGGATAATAAACGCAATGGACAAGGGATGAGGACGCTCGATACCTGAAACGGTGATTAAAGGGATTGGTTTTCCGGCAGATCGGCCACTTGGTAATGTCATCCGGCCACTCATAAGGCGCGATGCTTGCCGGGGCGTCGCAGAACTTTGGATCCAGTCCGCAAACAGATCCACTGATGCGGCCCCCGGGTCCACTGTCCGACGGTCCCCACTTCTTCCAGTTCGAGATTGTATTCTGCGAAATTTAACATGGCCACAATTTATCCTCGTCACCAATAAAGTTGAGATTTCTAAGTACCTCTGAATATATGTATATCCAGATTCAAACATGCACAAATCAACAAGATTTTGCGTATTCGTGTGCAAAAGGTAAAAAAGTACATTGCAAAGTAAAATAAAATTGACAAATAACATGTTTATTCTTTCTCTCTTGTACTTGAAAATTAAAATTATAAAATTCAAAACCTTAAAAATGCTATCCAAGAATAACTTCTTTCGAGGAAAATAAGATCCTATCGCTAGTTAAGCTAAAATTCAAGCCTTTTTACTAAATATACGTGCTCTTAATCTGTGCTAATCATTAACTACGTCTAAAGGTGTCTAATAATAGAGAAAAAGCACTTAATTCACAAATCTAATTAAAAAAAAAATATATATATATATTTACACTTTCTTCTTTTTTTTAATTCATGTTTCAAAATTACTTATAATATATTTCTGAAATAAATTTTTATATATAAATTAGGATCTTTTATCACGTTTATGATACTGACTATTATAATGCGAGCAAGGAAACACTGCGTTTAAATTTCCTAATTTTATTTAAGTGCTTTTCTCGTATCAAAAAAGTAAGGATTACATGATTTACCGGAACAGTGGATCTCAATCCTCGAACCTATTGGCGCGCATGGAAGAAAATTACATTAACATGAACGCGACCGTGAAGAGCCAGTTTATACAAATGTTCAAGATCGAGAAAACTCACGGAGCAATCCGCTTTGCTGGATTGAACGCAGCCGGAATCGTCGTTTCTGATGCAGCAAGCGGTATCCCGTTCCCTTTCCCGCCAGATGTCGATCTCCTTCAGGATCTTGATGTCCCGACGCATACACGGCGCAAACTTGGCACCAAGATGAATCAGATCCGCGGCCCTAGGACCTAACCAGAAGTTCGCGGGTTCCTGATAGTCGACTTGTTGCAACGACAAACTCGTCACGAGAACCTGGATAGGATTTAATCATTTTTCAATCTCTATCTATATTTATTTATAGAATTTTTAACCATTCTTGAATCAAATGCTCAACAGCAATTTAATCAAGTGTCTTCACAGCTTACATTCTACAAAAATGTATATCTCAGAAAATTCAGAATTTTGTTGCACTCAATCATGTTTAAAGAAATCATAGATATCTATTTTTATTCAGCACAGATGCAAAAATAATTCATTTTATTGCACAAGAGACAGCAGAATGAATTTTCCGATTAATTCCAATATATAATTTTTGAAAAATGTCAACGATGAGATTCGAATGAGAACAACTGAAGTCAAGGGATAATAATTTGTATTTGCTTACCAATCCTGACCGATGAGTGATATCCATGCCAACAGGACCAAATCCGTAACACGCCAGAGATATTATCAGAATCAATACTTGCACAGTGGTAATCCAGTACGTGAAATATGGTCGGTGATCCTCGAAGTCATCCAACTGTTTCCTTACGTCTACCTTTTGCGCGACGCTCTTTCGAAAAGATCGTCTGGAACAAAAAGGAACATTTTTAACGATCCGCTTTATTTTCTTTACAACATGCTTACTATAAACCCAATATTCCGAAAAATGTTTTCGATAGAAAATTATCAGGAAGAGATACACAATGTTATTATAATATTATTATACGTACAAAATATCGACACATAAAAAATATCATAAGATATCATTTTTCAAATAATATAAAAATATAAAATAACAATTTATATAAAAAATATATAATATGTAAATATATAAAATTCTATAGCAATATAAATATATATAAAAATATAATATATATAAATATAATAAAAAATATAAAATATATAAAATATAATATAAAATATATAATATATAAAAATATATAATATGTAAAATATATAAAATTCTAAAATAGCAATTGTATAGTATTCTAAGCAAAGACCGGTAATAATTAGTAAGACTTGTATTTACGATGCGAAGTTCGCGCCATCTAACATACAACTTGCAAAATGCGAAGTCGCTTTCGAACTTCTGTCTCGCAGTGAATCGCGTTTTCCGATTAAGGTAATTTTACTCTCTCTCTCTCTCTCGCGGGAATTAATTGAATGAATTCGACTTCTGGTTTAATAATCGCACAAAGGCGCAGAGAGGAACCGTACCCGAAGAAACGACCGACGATGCCCATTCCGTATCTCCGTCGATTGCTGTTGTCGAAGACACGATCGATCGTGCTGCGGGAGATCCTTGTGGCCCCGGTTATCTCCCTGCGGAGAGTCACCCCTTCCTCCTGTGGCAGCCTCGTACCCTCCGTCGGGGGCGCGTCGTACTTCGACCTGCTCCAACTTGTCTTTCTGTAATCTCATTCTCGTTATACACGCTTGCAAGTTTGTCGGAGGACAACGACAAATCTATTTTGCAAATTGCTTTTGCTCGAATAAAGTATAGACTGCGCGATCTCGGCAAACTACTCTTCTCTCTTACGTCGAGGGTTTTTCGATTCATCAAGAGCGGTGGAAATCTTATATATACAAATTAAACATCGAAGCATGGAAACTTTTCTTTGCCATTTAATTGAGCTGATTATTTTTACGACATTTTATATTCTTGACATTTATGTTAATATCATATTTATGTTAATATTATAAAATGAAAAAGATGATTCTTTTTTCAAACATAAATACAAAATATAATAATTTTTTGCGATCATTCAATTTTAATTACAATATTAATTTGAGAGAAATTAATTATCTCTGACGATCTCTAATATTTCATAAAGATTACGATATTTAATCCTCCGTTGGAGAAACTCGACTAAAAATTAATGAAATGAGCCGTCACCTGGAAATATAGTGGTCCCTCGTGATCGAACGGGGTCGTCTAACTTGTCCGTCGATCGTCGTCCTGTCGTCCTTTTGCTGTACGAACCTGTGAACGGGAAACACTTTGATAAGTCTTTAATTACTCCAAATTACAACTGACTTAATTCCCTTCGGAAAATAATTTAATCTACGATAAATCTATACGTTTATGATTTTTCTTAAAGGCTCCTCGCTGATCATGTTGGAATTGTGACGTCAAAGGCGAGAATTGTGACGTCAGAGGCGAGAAACGCGCGCTAAAAATTCTCAGATGCCATTTCGAAATAAAAAGATATTTCGACAAAACAGCAGGTTTTAAAATACCTCGAACACTATCCTCATCCTTTTATAACCAATCAACAGCTGTAAAATGACAGTAACATTTTACAGTTGTTGGTTGACTGTCAAGGGAAAATAATAGTTTTCGAGGTATTTTAAAAGAATGCTGAAGTCATTTGAAGTAGTGTTTCGAAATATCTCTTTCAGGGTGTATACTCAAATCTTAGAAATAAATTCCCTGAGGATTCCATGATTTTCCAGGTACTTTTGTTCAAAATTCCAAATAAAATTAAAGTATTTTAAATAATATTTGAAACACAACTTTGAAATAAGTTTATATGTTATACATAATTTTTTAACATAAATAAAGTATTTTTTTAATATAATAATGTAGTATTATATTACAATAAAATATATTTTAATATATACTTTATATAAAACTAATAAATTTTATATTCTTTAAAACTATATTTCAAAATCAAAGAGACAATTTTTTTAAAAATTCCCCGAGTTCAAATCAAATTCCATGATAATTCCTGGATTTTTCCAGGCAGTACACATCCTGTCTCTTATTTAAAAATGGCATCCAAGAATTTTCATCGTATGCTTCTCTGACGTCACAATCTGACATATAGTCGCGGCGAGGATCCAGGAGCCTTAATAAAAAATCTAAAAAAAATCCTCCTAAGGAAAGAGTAGAACCTACCCAACCAGATCCTCGGAACCGATATATTATAATAGTATTATACTATAACAAAATATATTTTAATATATACTTTATATAGAACTAATAAATTTTATATTCTTTAAAACTATATTTCAAAATCAAAGAGGCAATTTTTTTAAAAATTCCCCGAGTTCAAATCAAATTCCATGATAATTCCAGAATTTTTCCAAGGAGTACACACCATGTCTTTTATTTAAAAATGGCATCCAAGAATTTTCATCGTGTGCTTCTCTGACGTCACAATCTGACATATAGTCGCGGCGAGGATCCAGAAGCCTTAATAAAAAAATCTAAAAAAAAATCCTCCTAAGAAAAGAGTAGAACCTACCCAACCAGATCCTCGGAACCGATCCTCTCGCGATCCTGCGCGCCGTCGAGGATATCCGCGATCTTGACGCCGACCTCCTCGTCCTTGTCGAGTCCTCCACCGGGAGCCTGCTCGATCTGCGATGTTTGCTGCGACTGCTGGGCCGGAAGAGGCGGTGGAGGTGGCGGAGGCCTCTCGAAGAAGGACTGCTCTTCGTCCGGGCCGCTCTCGGGATACGACACTCCCTCCGTTCTCGATAAGTAGGCGATCGTGCTCGGCGGGAAGCTGCGCGACTCCGGACGCGATTGCGAGCGCTCGCGGGGACGCTGCCTCGTCAGCGACTGGCAAACAGACAGACGTGCTTCAATCTAATGGCATTATGCGATATTTGCGCACGCGAGTACAAATACACATTGGGAGATTCTTCCTTTTCATTCCCAACATTCCTAGATTCTAATATTAAATTAATATTAAACAGATTTGTAGAGATGTACATGGGAAAGGAAAAATTATGATGACATACATTAATTAAATAAACAATATAAGAGCTAGAGCAACATCCGAGGTCCTACAAAATTTCTACAGAATATAAAATTAAAAATTTTTGGTAATTATTCTTATATAATGTGCGAATTAAAAATATTATACTCTTTAGAATCCTCGTGAAAGAGGAAAAATAATTCATCAATTAATCAGATTCGAAAAGACTTTGTTTATATGCTTACAAATTGGTCCCTTTTTGTGTGAGTTAAAAAAAAAAATTTTTTTTTTTAAATTTTATTTCAACAAAAAAATAAAAAATTTTAATATTAATTTAACGCCTACATTAGCATTATGTAATACTAATATTCGCTATTTTGATAATAAAATCTACAATTTTTTGAAAATAATGTAAAAAATATACATTTGAAAATAGACCGGAAATAAAAATTCTTAATAAAAAATAGTAATATAAAATAAAAATAGTGAAAAATAACAATAAAATAAAAAATATTAATATAAAATAATATAAAATAATATCGAAAGATTTTAAAAAAAGTGCGGACATACAGTGGAGTTTTGCGATCGTACATTGATAATAATTAGAAATCAACGAAATTATAATATCAATTTAACACCTACATTAGAATTATGTAATATTAATACGCACTATTAACAATAAAACCTTGTAAATAATTTCTTATAAATATCAAAAAATTCCAAAAAGGGCACGAACATATGGTGGAATTTGTGATCGTATATTGATAACGATTAAAAATCAAAATATTATATGTATATGTTACAAAGATCGATTTTAAAATATCATGTTTAATTGTACACCTGATTCCGATATCAAAAAAAATTAAATATCAAGTTTAATGCCTACATAAAAATTATGTAATATTATTACTCGCATATACATATATTAATAATACATAAAATCTATCATTTCATAAAAATATAAGATTTAAACATACGGTGCCATTACGATTTTTAATATTAATAATGATTAGAAATCATTCTGATTCTGATTTTAAAAAAATTAATACTAAATTACTAGTATAACTAAATTAGTACTAAATTTATCTAGAATATTACAGTATTAAAATTTATTATGTAAATAAATATTTATTGATAATAAAATCTATAATTTCTTAAAAATAAAAAATGTAAAAAAATATAAAATAATATTAAAGAATAAATAAAATAAAAGTAAAAAATCATCGAATTTCGTAAACAGTAAAAGGGCGCGGCTGTACGGTAAAGTTTTGCTTCGATCGTACTGATAACGATTAGAAATAAAAAAAAATATATATATATATATGTTCAAGGAGGGATCGAGGTGAAAATAGCGTGCGGCTAACTGCGCTGCCACACCCGAGTTTCCGATTCCGATATCGCTAATAAACTGTCCAAGCTGTCGAAAGCAGTCTCTGACCGCGCGCGGCGGCCGAGCATCGGCTGGCATCTACTACTGGCTGCCAGTAGTATAAGTGTCAGACTGCCGATCTCGCCCGGCCGCGTGTCTGACCATACGCTCCCCGCTATCCCTGCGAAACTTCGTAAAACTAACCGCGTTAAACGGCAGTTTAGCCTGCCAACTTCCGCCGATATTGTTTCTTCGGATGTTGCGGCCCTCGGTTTAACGAGACATCTTCGTTCAAGTTGGCGCGTTTATACGCCGTGTCCCGTAATAAACGAGCGAAACTTTAGTGCGTAACACATTTTCTTATTAAGCGAGAAATTTATCAAGTTAAATAACTACGGTGAACCGTCATTCTCGAAGTATCGTACACTGGGAAAAAATTTTATTAACTAAATATTATTTTGTTAATGGGACATGTAAAAGTATTAAAATTAAATGTTACATTAATGCGTAACACATTTTCTTATTAAGCGATTTATCAAGTTAAATAACTACGGTGAACCGTCATTCTCGAAGTATCGTACACTGGGAAAAAATTTATTAACTAAATATTATTTTGTTAATGGGACATGTAAAAAATATTAAAATTAAATATGTTACATTATACGTAACACGTTTTCTTATTAAGCGAGAGATTTATTAAGTTAAATAACTACGGTGAGCCGTCATTCTCGAAGTATCGTACACTGGGGAAAAACTTTATTAACTAAATATTATTTTGTTAATGGGACATGTAAAAAATATTAAAATTAAATATGTTACATTAATACGTAACACGTTTTCTTATTAAGCGAGAGATTTATTAAGTTAAATAACTACGGTGAGCCGTCATTCTCGAAGTATCGTACACTGGAGAAAAAATTTTATTAACTAAATATTATTTTGTTAATTGAACATGTAAAAGTATTAAAATTAAATATGTTACATTAATGCGTAACACATTTTCTTATTAAGCGAGAGATTTATCAAGTTAAATAACTACGGTGAGCCGTCATTCTCGAAGTATCGTACACTGGGAAAAAATTGTATTAACTAAAAAATTTATTGTATTAAAAAATTTTATTAACTAAATATTATTTTGTTAATTGGACATATAAAAATATTAAAATTAAATATAATACATTAAACGTATATTTGACTTAAATACTATAATATATGTTCAATTAATAAAATAGTAATTTAGTTGAAAGGTTTAGTCAAGTTAACAATATTTTTTCCAATGTATATACTTATAGTTTTATAGAGATTTGTGGAACCTTTTTCTTTTTGATATTTCGCGCACATTTTTCAAAATACACCGTTTAATTGCGGGAACGACGATTAACGATCGAGAACGACATCGTGCCGCGACAATATAAAATCCGATCGGAAGGGCCTCGATACGGAGCAATAAACAGGATAAATGTTAATTCCACGCAAGCCGTGCGCGAAATTAAATTCCGTCGAATTTTATAGAGGCGTAGATCCCCGCCTTCTCTGGAATTTTTCCGCTTTAACGAGCCCGCTATTATCGCAAAAGAAAACACGCACCTCGTCTTGCTATCTTCATCCGTGCTCAATATCTCAATTTTATATAAATTCTTTGATATAAAAAGAGAAGAACATATATATATATATATATATTTGTAATATATATTTTTATTAATATTCCACTAAAAAGCGATGTATAAAAAAAATTTAATTTTAATTTTAAATTATTTCATATATTCTACCTCCGTTTTTTATTAATCGCAAAAAATTCGTTAAATTTTAATAATTCAAAATATTATATTCATATATTTTCCAGAGACGATATAAGGTATAATTAATTACACATATATCTCAAATTGAGCCTATATTGTTATGCACTTTTACTTCATCAAATTACATTATTCTTGGCAAAAGTGCACCGAAAAAAAAAGACTAAATTATATATATATATAATACATATTTAATTCAATACTGCCAAATGAATCATTTATTTGAAACAAATAAATATTTATTTGTTTTGAAAAGGATTTTCTTATATCAAATAAATATTTTTGGTTTCAAATAAATGATTTCCTTGGCAGTGTTGAAATAAATACTTATAAGAATTAACTAAATTTGTTTTCAGTGTGAGATGACACAATTAGTAATTTATCGTTAAAAGAGAAGACGAGGGAAGAAAACCTGCGGGAAAGAATTGATTTGCAAAAATTCGATCGGCAATAGTTCGAGAGAGAGTTTATTAATCCGTATCCGAGCTATATTATTGAATAATATTATTGGCCGCCCATTAATATCGATCAACGCTGATGGGTGAACGTGTAATGAGTATTTACTGGAAAATCCATCATTTCGCGAGCGTGTAATTAAACGCAGATCAGCATAATCCGGCATTAACGACTATATCTACCGATCGCATCGCGCAGTAACAACTTTCAAATGATTATAGCTCGTGTATCGATTTCTACGATTTCATCGGGCCTACAAACACGCTGAAATTTAACGGGATGTTGCATCATCGAGCAAAGATAACGTTTATATGGATCAATAATCAGAGTGTCTGGTCAAATTTGAAAATTAAATTTAAGGACATTTCCAGGATATTTGCACGATTTTCCATTATTTTTTTTATCAAGTCGATATTTAAATCAAAAATTAATATATGCATCACAAATATTCGATGCAATATTTTTTTTAGTATATTTAAATGCTTAAAACCTATAAACTTATAGGTATAACACATATTTTTGGATTTGGAGGTAAATAAAAAAATATTTTGTATTATTTGCGAAATATTTTTAACTCGAATAATCTCAGTTGAATGTTTAAAAGCACAACAAAATAAATCAAGGAGCTACGAAAAATTCAAGTACATTTCCAGGACTTTTAAAGAATTCTGCCAAATTTTAAAAAAATTTGTTAAAATAACTGGGAAATCAAAGCTATAAATTTCAAAATTTCCTTCCCTTAGAAAGTAAAAAAAAACCTATAAACTTATATAATACATATTTTTGAATTTGGAGGTAAATACAAAATATTTTGTATTATTTGCGAAATATATTCAACTCGAATAATCTCAGTTGAATATTTAGAAGCAACAAAAAAAATCAAGGATCTAAGAAAAATTCAAGTACATTTCCAGGATTTTTAAAGGATTCTGCCAATCAAAAAAAAAAAAATGTTTTTGTTAAAATAACTGGAAAATCAAAGGAATAAATTTCCTTTCCTTAGGAAGTAAAAAAGAGACAAGGATTTTTCTTTATTTATCTCTCGCATAAATGTGATAATGCTTGGCGACTCGTTGTTTCCGCGAAATTAAAAAGGAAGATGAAACAGAGGAGAGAAAAAGAGAGAGAGAGAGGAGAACCGCCGTCACACAAGTGTAACGAGGTGTTTTAAATCTTAGGGCGGCGTGTAACGAAGGGAGTAGATTACCCTCGTAACTCGCCCTTTATGCGTTCCGCTCAAGGGATGTAATTAATGGCGGCCGGTGCACGCGTTTTACACGCGAATTTTTATTAAAATCTACATCGCACGAGCGACGTAATAAGAAGACAGCAGTTTCCATCTGTTAACGAAAGTCTAATAAACCGCATTAATAAGTAAAATCGACATTGCATTAATTAGAGCAGCTGCACTTCTTCGAACTTGCCTTTATATCGACTGCAATTTTAAATAAAATGAAGAAGAAATGAAGAAGAAATGAAGAAATAATGAAGAAATGAAGAAGAAATAATGAAGAAATAGAGAAGAAATAAAGGAGAAATGGAGAAGAAATGAAGAAAGAAATAAAATGCAATATTTTGCATTTTTATAATTTTTTCACAAGGTGTCTAGTAAAATTTCAAAATAAAATTTAAGAACATTTCAAGGAAATTTGCACGATTTTTCAATAGTACAATAAAGATGTACAAAACACTTTATTTTCTTTATCTATATAATTGCGTGTTAATGAAAATTAATATATGCATTACAAATATTAAATACAATATTCTCTTTAAAATCTATAAGTAACTTGTGCGTAACACATATTTTTAGACTTTTAAATAAAATATAATTATATTATTTACAAAGATAAAATATTTTTACTCGAATATAGTCTCAACTGCTCTTTTAGCTAAATGTTTAGAAGCAACAAAGAAAATCAAGGAGCTACAAAAAATTTAAATACATATTACCAGGATTTTTAAAGAACGAAATTCCAGAACATTTCAAGGACTTTAAGGACGACTATAGACATCCTGTTTCAACAACGACAAATTTTATGTAAATGCATTTCGGGTAAATCGGCTGATTTTTTCACATGTTGCAGCTTATTACCTGCTATTGTATTTAAATTAGCAATGTGTCCTTTGTTAATATTTTATCAGCATATTTTAAAAAGTCATATTTCAACGCGTCTTTTAATATAAAATTTCTTCAAATTTAATAAGTTTTAACAGATAAATTTACTCATATAAAATGGAAGAAAATAAAGTCTATATTTTCGTCATCTTTGCTTATTTCCCGGAAAGACTCACAATCAATGTAAACAACAAAAGGTTATGTGCTATTTAAGGGAATAATTCTGTTGAAGACTCTCGTTCGGAAATAGTTTACTAAAATTGACGAAAATCAAGGCACGAAAACAGCCTGTGATATATTACACACTGTAAAAAATATGTACTTTATTACATAAAAATATGTAAAATTACTCACTTAATTATTTGTATGATTTTATACTATATTTTAAATACAATTTTACATATATTTTTTTTTACATTTACAGCAGTTAAATTTAAACAAAGTCTTTAAATTTCATAAAATAACGCTACAAACTTTCAAACAACCCAATATAATAGCTTCAAAGCTAAATAATGGACAGTTACTGAACTACAGCTAGTCAAACAACTCGCAGAAGTGAGTTTTTGTGTTTGACAGGCTGTAAATCAGGAACTATTATTTACCTTTGAGTTTATTACATTTTTTGTCATTTTCAGGTCATAAGCTACAACATATGAGAAAGATTTTACAAAGGTTTAATTTTATATAGAATTAGTGCAAAATTTGAATCTATATAAAATCCTAGATAAAATTGAATCCCGATCAAATCAGCTGGCTTTTTATATGTTATAACTTATGAGCTACTGAACAAAAAATGCTCAAAGCTAAATAATAAATTATTGGTTTACAATCAGTCTAACAAATTGACACTGTATCTCTGTAATTATCCATTATTTAGCTTTGACGCTATTAAATTTTTTGTTCAACGGGTCAATAAATTACAACATATAAAAAAATCAGCTAATAAATCCATTTTACACAAGATTAATTCGGAGTACTTTTCATTATTTAAAATGCAATATAATTGGCAGCCATATTTCTAAAGATATCTAAAAATTTCTAAAGATATATGAAAAGAGGAAAATAGTATAAAAATAATAATTAGGAGGAATACTTAACGTAAGTTAACAGGGACAATTTTCTTCCCGTTTTGTCTGCAAATGTCGAGTGTGCGCGATAAAATAATAATGTGTGTTTGCGCGAAAAGCTTTTATTCCAGATTTATCTGGGCTAAAAAGAGCCTCTCGCAAAACAATTTTAAGCAGCATCGCAGTCCGCGTTTCCGCTTAATAAATTTCGTTATTGCGAGAACGCAATCGCAAGAATCGCGGAATTGTGATTCGATCGCGCGGAACGGATCGCGGCAAAATTAATTTGCGTTATCCGTTTTCGAGATTATATTTTCGCCCGTATTTTATACTCCGCTCGCGACATAGTAGTCAAAGGAAAAACAGATGATTCGAGCAAAAAATATAAAAATTCTAAAGTATAAACCTAAACAATTTTCATTTCAATTAAATTATAATTATATTACGTATCGTTAGATTCGGAGCAAACTCAAACAATCAACTAAAAATCAATCAAAAATCGCAATTTATATAAAACAATTTTTAGAAATAAATCGAGCGTTAATTAATTAAATATTTAAATAATAGATAGCGATTTAATATAATTGGTAAGGCATGTACTTCGAAAAAATTCGTAATTAACGAAAAAATGCACGAATACTCGAAGCGGAATATTTTTGATTGCGTAAAATAATGAGCGACCGCGAATATATATATATTTTGCGTTTGATTTTCGAAGCGACTGCGACGCGACGATGCTTTCTGGGTCGCGAGTAAAATATTTTAATGGTCCACCGTGTATATATACGAAAAGAGAAACACACTTTCCTCCAGCGATACATGCTCCAGGCGTTGTCCGGCTAGTTCAAGTTAAGTGGTAAGTTTTGAAATATGGCCAGCCGCGCGTTCGCAGCGCAGCAGAGTGCATTGTGTGACGCGTGCATGTGTGTGTGCAACATCCGCGTTCGATATATTCAATTATGGCCAATCGAAGGGCCGCCAAAAATACAAATCTGAACGTATTTTCGAAAAATCGTCGAAATTATTTTGATCCGCACTCAAAGTCGGTAAATAATATACCCTGTCCTTTAAAAATAAAAAATAAAATTGTTATTAATATTTATGGTCAGTATCCCCTTAATATAAATGATATATCCTGTCCTTTAAAAATAAAAAATAAAATTGTTATTAATATTTAAAAATTAATATTTAAAAAAAATTAATATAAATAACATATCCTGACCTTTAAAAATAAGAAAAAAATTATTGAAGGATCACTAAAATAAATGAAATCCTTTCCCAAAAGTTCGATCTTTGATTATGAGTCACACAGATATTGTGCGGCGCAATATCTTTAAAACAATCGCGGGTAGTAAAATACTTGAATAATTCAAAGGTAAAATTTTGTCTTAGCTCGGCGAGTGCAAAGTTTGCATGGCCGGAAATAAGCCCTTCTGGCGTAAACTAAAACCAAAGTTACGTAATGGGGCGCACGGGTCGCTCCACTTTTATGACCGGAATTACTCTCTACTTTGGCTAATCTAAACTTTAAAGTTAATGTAACGTAATTCAGCAAAAAGGTGGTTTACACCCGGCTAGCTAATTACGTCACATCGACGTTGCGTTTCGTAATCACGGTAAAAATTCGTCCGCGGAACCCATTCGACGCGAAAAATTCTACACGCATTTATTAAAGCGACGTTTATCGAATAAACAAAAATTTTGAAGGAATTTGCAAAACATTTCATAAAAGAAAATTGTTGAAATAGATTTTAAGTTCAATGACTCACCTCGACGATGTAATGAAGACCCGACAGTGTCATCCTTGCCACAGAATCTTTCCTTCGAACCGGTTGCTGCCATCGTCTGAGAGTGACACCCTGTAAATATTTAAAAATGCCAGTTTTTCCGCAAATTTCTCAGAGCCACAATTTTTTTCTGTTCGAGTAACAATATTATACAGTAGTCTTCTTGCTAAAAATGGTCCCCGTTAAAATTTTTGTGTTAAATATTTAACATATTTATGTGTTAATTTAACATATCGCTGGTATGTTAATTGAACATAAATGTTAAATTAATAAAACAAGATGTAAAAAAAATAACACATTCATCACAAGATTCATCTGTCAAAATTTACAGGCAAACATGTTGATTTTTTATTTTATAATATAAGTGAGAATAATAAAATCTAAAATTAACATATTCTACACAAAATTTATTTTAAACTACTTGAAGTTTTGCATTTATTAAGTTTAAAATATTAACACAGTATACGTTTCCATTTAACACATCTATATTATGTTAAATTATAATACAAAAATTTCTATAAATCATTTGAGACACGTGATATTTTTTAACTTTAACAGAAATTCAACTATGTATCGTTCTCTCTGATTACTTTATCTTAATCAAAGTTTTCGCAACAACTTATAAGCCTCGATAAGCTCATAATAAATTCCTATACATCTTAACAATTTACGTCACAAATTACATCGTTCTCGTGAAAAATTGATTCGAGCTGAAAAACTTGGAGAAAGTTTATTCCTGCAACATGAAAGCTCTCGATATCTCATTCCGCTATTTTGCGCAATCAGCTGATCGATTATCACGGGATTATCGTGTTATATCGTTAATACGATTGTAATCGCATTAAAACGCATGATATAATGCGATTACCTCCGGTGTCTCGGTCGTGTCCGGTACGTCCCTGGTGATGTCCGGATCCGGGGGCTTGTGTTCCGGTAGCAACGCGCCGTACTTCCTCGACGCCATGCGTCGTCGTCGATCCAGCCATCTCTGCTTCTCCAGGGCCTCCGAGTCCTCGTCGACTCCGAAGAACTGCGCTGTCTCGCGTTTAATGTAACTGGAATTAAATTTTATTTTTTCTTTAAAAACTTTTTTTGTTAATTCATTTGCATTTTTTTATATTAAATAAATCCAGTGTTTATTCAAAAGAAGAATAAATGCTTAATTCTTTTACTGATTCCAAGGAAGGTAAATCTTGCTCCCCATGCTCTTAATTAATGTTCTCGAATATTGTATAATCTACTTGAATGTTAATATTAAAATAATATAGTTGAATAATAAAAATAATTTACATGAATAATTAATAAAAATAATATAAACTATATAATAATAATAATAATAATAAAAATGATATACTTGAATAATAAAAATAATATATTTGAGTAATAGTGAAAATAATAATAAAAATAATATAATCGAATAATAAAATAAAAATAAAATAATTTGCATGAATAATTAGCAAAAATAATATATACTTGAATAATAATAAAACTGGTATACTTGAATAATAAAAATAACATTCTTGAAGACTACTCACTTTCGAATAGCATCGGTGCGACTTTGGTTCCTTCTGAGTCTCGGCCGCTGGGTCGTCGACGTGCTCGCCGAGGAGCTGCTGACCTGGACAACCGGTCGCGGGCACTCGGCGCGGAGACACTCCTCGCGATGCCGCTGACACTTCCGGTAGCGACGGAGATGCCGGAAGTGGCAGACGGCACGGTCGCCGATGCCGTCGTAACCGGAGTCACCGTCGTGGTCGAGGACGTCGTGGCGCCCACCGGGTACATCCCGATGCTCTGCGTCACGTCGCCCTCGCCGGACGTCGACGATACCGTCGATGTGCCCGTTGTTCCGGAACTCGGCGACGGCCTGAAAACAAAAGGGACAAAATTAAATTTTATTACAATGAGAAGGCAGGTTAAGATTATTTTTATTTTTAAATTTATTATTTTTATATCTTAAAAGTATATTATTTTTAATATATAAAAATATATGAAATATATTTTATATATTATTTGTACATATATATCATTAAATAATAAAATATATTATTTAACATATACAAATATATGAAATATATATTTTCATTATTATTCAAATTTATTATTTTTATTATTATTCATGTATACTACACTGAGAGAATTTTCTCTTAGAATTTATCCTGAAATTCATGTTAATCGTGGACAATAAAGTATTGAAAGAATTTTATAAAAGTTTCTCTGATTAATAATTACCACAATAAAAAATATTATCTACCACAATAAGATATCAAATGTTTGATTAATTTTACTAAAACATATAATAAAATTTCGATAATTTTAAAATATATTAAAAACTATATTAAATAGAATAGATACCAAAAAAGTGATAAGTATAATATATCAAACATTTCATATAAATTTTAACAATGTAGTATAATATTTTCAATCCAGCTTAATCATTCATCATTGATAATTTAAAAAAAAAGTATAATATAATAATTTTCGACTTATTACAAAATATAATAAAATTTGTAGTGAATTTTGCGGTAAAATATAACGAAAAATTCTCTGTGTATTTTTATTCGTATTATTTTAATTATTATTCAAGAATATTATTTTTATTATTTAAGTAATAAATAAATTATATATATGAAGCAGAAGAAAAGATCTGTCTGCCACCTTTATTATCAGCTCGGGAGAGATTAAAAATGATAAATTATTTGCTAATTACGCCATTAGCGATAAATAGCACTTTTATAGCAAATATATTTATAGGAAAATATACATATATTTTCGCAGAAAATATGCGGCTGGAACGCAGCACAGGCGTGATTTATACTCGCGCAAATAAAAAGGAAAACTGGCGCCGGGAAATTTCCGCGACGCCACATTTTTCTCGCGGCAGCTGCATCCCTCGCCTGCATTCATTTAGGCGGAGTGCAGTATCAGGGAGTCGATATCGCGTGCATCAAGGGTAATTAATGGCAAGCCGCCCCTTCTTAGACGCGCTGTCGTCGCTTTGCCTCGAAAACGCACGTGCCGTGTTTCAGTTAATTTTTTTTCCCGGGGGATAAAAAAAAACTCATGAATTTTTTTTTGTCTCTTTTTAATCCGACACACCACGCTAATTCCAAATAAATTGCACGGAAAATACGGTTAAGAGATTATTCGCGGTCCGGAGAGCTTTGACAACCGTGAAAGGGAAAAATGCGCGCGAAAAAAAAAACGCATCGATTAATCGCGATTAATCGAAGGATTCGCGAGCTAAAGATCTAATTTGCGAAATAGAAAATAAAGAGAGTGAATACCGGGCATTTATATTTTTTTTCGGGATGACGTAAAGGGGAAACGATGACTTATTAAAGTATGCAAGTTCTAAACCATAAGGGAAGAAGAAAACGTTTGGGTGCCAGAAAGGAGAATGGCGCCGAAGCGAAAATTCGCTGAAAGAATGCCGCGCCACGAAACCGTCTCATGAATAGATGAGGAGAGATAGAATTGAGGACTTCGCCGAGCTTGCAGCTTTCATGCAACTTGAATGCACACGAAAGTGCATAAAAGAGAGAAAAAAAACACCGTTTCGCGAGGCGCTAGATTTCGGATATGCTTCGGGAAAACTTATGAACTTGCGATCACTGAAAAAAATATGTATGTACGTATACAACATATGGAGAAGCAGGTGGAAATATTTGAATGCAAATCCAGGTATGAAAAGAACCAGGGAGAGACAATAAAATTATTTTTAAATTCCCCCATTGTTCATTTTCACTCAAATTAGTGTGATTCAAAATAGTATAGATTTTTATTTATATTATATTTTATTTATATTATATTTTATATATATTTAAATTTTATATATATATATATATATTTATATATATATTATATATATATATATATATATATATATATATATATTATACAAAAATATATTATATATTATATCAATTTTATATATAAAAATATATTAAATTAATATATATAATATACATTTTATATTATATATTTAATATAATATATTATACGGATATAATAATATATACGGATACTGTAAATAAAAAAAAAAAATCTTTAGTAGCTAATATATATATGATAAAAAAATCTTTTTTAATACTTGTGCTTGATGTAAAATTGCGTTTGAAGAACGCGCGGTTAAATTAGCCATCCAACAATAAATTGAGTAAGATATTGGGGACTCTATTTTAGCGATGTTTGTTAATAATTTCTACGTCGTTTCCGGAAACTTGCTGGCAAGGCGCGAAGGAAGTTCCCGTCGAAGAAATACTCCGATCGGAAGTGCCGCGTGAAAATTCCTCACACCAGGAGACGTCGCTTCGGCGACGGTGTATCTCCGCAAGTGCTTAAGTTTGAACGTTCATATATAAGTTTCAACATAAATACAGCGTCTTGTTTCCGCTTGTTTCGCCGCCGTCCCGTGCCACCCCGGACCGGAAATTAAGGGACGTCTCTCCCGCCTCCCGCCCAATTTCATTAGCCCGTTTCGATTTGATAAGACCGCGGATAAATGCGTGACTCGATGATAAATTGTACGTCAGATGTATAAATAAGCGTGCATAAATTACAACAAATAACACGGGATGTTCTAGAATAATTCACTCTGCGAAAAGCCATTTTATGTATGCAAAATTTATGTCATGAGATTGCACAAGAGTGTAATAGAAGTCTATATAGAGTTCAGCGATCGAAATCGTGCATAGGAGAAATTGATAAGAACTGATTTATATATTTGATAAAAATAAAAAAAAATTATGTGATAAATTTTTCAGAAATTAGGAAAGTCTAGAAAGCTGGAAAATATAAGAAAAGAAGAATTGGAATAATTAAAATACTGGAAGAGAAACTAGAGAGAAGCATCTACCCATGTAGAAAATTGTTAGGGCAATAAAAAAATAAATTGCATTTATTTTTGTATTAATTTTACACACACAGATCTCAAAAAAGCGGGTACAGTCCTGGAAATTATTGGGCCATCTTAGGATAACACAAAGGATTTCATAAGGCATGATTACTTAACCTTTAAGGACCCTCGATGGAAAAGCATGCCCGACCTTAAAGGGTTCTTATTGGGCTTCCGCATTAGCACCCTAACAAAGTTAGGAAAAATTAACAGAGGCCTTATCAAAGCCTTAACGCAATTTCCACAAAACCCCGCTTACTTAACCTTTAAGGGTCCTCAATGGAAAAGCGTGATCAACCTTAAAGGATTCTTATTGGGGTTCCACATTAGCACCCTAACAAAGTTAGGAAAAATTAACAGAGGCCTTATCAAAGCCTTAACACAATTTCCACAAAACCCCGCTTACTTAACCTTTAAGGGTCCTCAATGGAAAAGCGTGACCGACCTTAAAGGATTCTTATTGGGCTTCCACATTAGCACCCTAACAAAGTTAAGAAAAATTAACAGGGGCCTTATCAAAGCCTTAACACAATTTCCACAAAACCCCGCTTACTTAATCTTTAAGGGTCCTCAATGGAAAAACGTGACCGACCTTAAAGGGTTCTTATTGGGCTTCCACATTAGCACCCTAACAAAGTTAAGAAAAATTAACAGAGGCCTTATCAAAGCCTTAACACAATTTCCACAAAATTTCCACAAAACCCCTTATTGGGCTTCCACATTAGCACCCTAACTTAACAGGGCCTTAAAGGATTCTTATTGGGCTTCCACATTAGCACCCTAACAAAGTTAAGAAAAATTAACAGAGGCCTTATCAAAGCCTTAACACAATTTCCACAAAACCCCGCTTACTTAACCTTTAAGGGTCCTCAATGGAAAAGCGTGACCGACCTTAAAGGGTTCTTATTGGGCTTCCACATTAGCACCCTAACAAAATTAGGAAGCCTTAACGCAATTTCCACAAAACCCTGCTTACTTAACCTTTAAGGGTCTTCAATGGAAAAGCATGACCGACCTTAAAGGGTTCTTATTGGGCTTCCACATTAGCATTCTAACAAAATTAAGAAAAATTAACAGGGGCCTTATAAAAGCCTTAACGCAATTTCCACATGGGTATAGAGGAATCAAGAGAAGAAGAGTAACTGGAAGGAATAAACTGGAATAGATCTGATAGACTTTGTAGAACAGCTATAACGAAGAAAAGAAGGAAGAGGGAGGAGAAAGGAAGAAGCAAGGAGACTTCAGAAAGACTCGAACGATGGACTGCTGGATGTCGACAGGGACCGAGGTATGTCTGTAAAAATGAATCGGAAGAAACTGCAACGAGCCGAGGAGCGACTGAAGCGGACGGGGAGAAATCGAGCGAAAAGAAGACCGAGAGAAAGGACCAGGGAGAAGATGAAATGGAAGAGAGAGAGAGGGTGGAAAGAGGGTGGCTACACATACGTGTCATCCGCTCCGGAGGAAAGATGGGGCTTAAAGCGCAGAGAAGCTACCACCTATCAAGCGGTAAATGGTATAGCGACGATGCCCGGGTTGTTTTTCACGCGAATGGATTTTTACAACGCGAGATATTACTCTCCCCTGCCCTCTCCCTCCTCCTCAAACCTTCCCTTCTTCCCTTCGCGCCACCCCTGACTTTACCAGGGTGTGGCCTGCGTTCTCGCTCCTTCTCTCTCTTTGCAACTTTCACACGAAGAGAATTTTCTCTTAGAATTTAGCCTGATATTCATATGATAATCGTGGGTTTTTTTTTTGTATTGGAAGAATTTTTATATAAGTTCTCTGATTAATATTTACCACAATAATATACATTGATTAATTTTACTAAAATATATGTAAAATTTTAATAATTTTAAAATATATTAGAAACTTATAATACTTGAAGTGTTTTGAATAGAAGAGGTGCCAAAAAATGATAAACATATAAAATATCTACCTCTTCTATTCAAAACACTTCAAGTATTATA